GTTTCATTCTGAGGTAACAATTGCGTTTTTTCTTTATCTTATCCTTCATTCTTGCGTAAGCTGCTTTCTTCTCAATTTCTGTGGGTCACGTATGGATGGCCTGTCAACTCCACCTCCAAAATCACCTCTTCATTGTGACTCGATCCATGTCTGCTCTGGTGTAAGTAAGTCCTCAGTTCCTAACACTAAGAACAAGGTGCACATTTGCGGAATCACAGTTAGACTTGCGCCAGTCAGGTGTACCCACTCACCTATTAATAGGCCCGATAAGTGCCTTCTAATATCCACTTATTTAGAGCATGGCACCAGCCTACAAAGCTCACAAGTTATAAGGGAGCAATCATTCAGCTTCGTAACCAATACAGGCATTTAGACAAATGGTCCTGTCATAACCATATATGTCAATTTACTGCATTTAAAACTGTCTCATGCGTACCCATAAACCACAGTGCAAAAAGTATGCCGTATGAACTACTAGGATGGAGTTTTTGCACTACACAAAGCAAACGTCTCTCTCCTTAGTTGCAGTTGAAGTTATTGCATTCAATTGTCCCACAAATGCAAAGTGGACTGTTTGAGTATGGACATGAATGCCGTTTTGGGGGATTCATTTATTTTAACACTTGCTTTCTTTTCATCGGTCATAGTTAAATCATGATTGTACTTGTCTGCAGTATTTCAGGGTACGGAAGCCCCACTTCTCATTATCCTGTTGTTCCCACCTTCACCTACCACTCTCTGTCCAACTTTGCTCTTTCTGTTGAAAGCTGTCCCTGCTTCTGGTGCTGAAATCACTTCTGTGTTCATGTCTCACTGCTCATTGTGCCCTCCGACTCTTTGTAGCCATGTTTGGTGTGATTGGCACAGCACACATCGAATTAACAAGCATCACAGTCAAACAAGAGTATAAGATAAAAAAAAGGAAATTAATAATCCTACACAAGACAAACTGCATTCTCGCATAACGAATATTGCGATCTGTTTTGGAGAGCGCTGTTGTAACACCTTAATCGAATGGCACCACCCTACCGCCACTGAGACGTAGGAGTGATAAATGAGCACCGAGCGCAAACAAGAATACGCAAAACGGTTTTGTTACAGTCTCCATCGATTCACGTGAAACTAACTTCAGTCACTCGAGCTCAATAACTTTTCTTCTAGCATTTCACCAGGCTCATGATGTTCGATGTTACTTTCATTTATTTGACATTAAACCTTACAGTTAACTTTAAGCTATAAGCCCCACTGCAATATTTGTTAATTTACAGTTTGACACGTTCACCAGGCTGAGATTGAGGGACAGTTGGTTGTAGAATCTAGCAAGTGTCGTAGTGAAACGAGTGGATGTCATGACTGAGGCGACTGAACTACTTCAAGTGAGAGGCGTAATGCTGCTTGGTATGCTGATTCGCATCTGGCAGAGCTAATACTATAGTGCGAAATCTTAGAGGCTGTCATCTGCAGGTCAAAGGGCAATGCAATGCTGCCTGCCTCTCGCTTGACGGATGCGGCGCTTACCACTGCTTGCATGTGTACCACAATCGCCGCACTTCTTTGTCCAGCAAACGTCGTGAATGCACCTCAGAGCATGTCAGTGATGAAATGCTGGTGCAGCGTGTTACGATGAAGGCGAATTCCACGAGAGAAATGACATAGGCAATTGTTTTGCTATGCCTACCAGCATTTGGGTCATCGTGCACATGTGATTGTACCCACTTCTACCCATATTTCTGCTGCTCACATCCATCAAACGTCCATCGCTCTTCACATGGTATAAATAATCCTTTGTTATGCTGCAAATGTAACCAGCTTGATAATTATCCTCCTAGTGCATTTCTACTGCGCATTAATCGTTTACTGTAACTGCGTTTACCGTGGCAACTGCAGTGAAACCTGATGTTTCGAAGGTAGCTGAATTGAGATGTCACAGAGCAACGGAGTGATTGCGACAAAAGTTGAGGCGGGCTTTCAAATTAGAATGAATTTGAAGGAAGAGCAGCAAGGAAAGAAGCGCCAACGCGCGTGACTTTGTGCCATTCAACCTACTTCACAAACAGTTGGAGGTAATATTGCACAGCTTTGCTGACCATCGGTGGATTTGGGACATTGGATGTTGCAATAGACATGACAATATTCCTCAAGGGCCTTTTGCCATTTATGAAGACATTGACCTACTTCGCCACCCTTAACACTGCCATCACTGACAGCTCCCTGTTCGACCCGGCGTTACTTGCAAGAAGTTGCCTTAACCTCTGGTGATGAAATCGTTTCTCCACTATTCTTCGACTATATGCAGTCGTGTTTTGTTTAATTGGCGTAGCTCAGAGTCCAGTGATAAGCGTCATAATCATAACTAGAGCAAAAAAACTATAAATGCCATCAAGAGTCCTGCGCAGGGTGTACTTCATTACCACATAAAAAGTATCGCGCTCTGCTTTCGAGT